AAGGGGCTGTATCTTAACAAGGGATGCTCCAATGAAATTTCTTTATATGAAAGATCCTATCTTTTTTTCGATGAGGAATCACCTCCTTGAATGTTTTACACTTATTTAGTTACACCCTGTATTATTCAAAAAAATATGCATTTATGTATATTTATATATTTTCTATTTGGACTGATACAAAGCACGTGTTGTAGGTTCAAAAACATTTGAATAAATATCGTGATTACAGTTGCCAGTTCTCACGCAAGCATACGTAGATGTCTTCACTTTCATGCTGTTCGTAACTTTTTTGAACTAGCTAAGTTGATTGCCTTAGCTAAGTTCAGGGACTTCCTCTCCGATCGCGACAAAGGACGGTTGTGCCGATAACGACCGTCCTCAAAGATGGCACGTGGATGTCGTGGTCGGAGTGAAATCCAAAAGTGATGTGTTTTTTTATAAAGTCAAGTTTGAATAAATATTGCAGTGAAAGACATTTTCAGAGGACTGGCGGCCACCTACGCCACTAACCAGGCTGGATACCGACGGATTCAAATAGGGCGTCAGTGCGATAATATATGTGTTATTAGTGGAAGTCATATTTAGAGAACTGGCGGCCCCCAGTGAAATAATGAAGTGAAAGCAAATGAGAAAACTCAGGGTGGCAGCATTGCCCCGAGCAAGACAGCTGCTCCCCAGGATGAAGATACTGTTCACTATGGACAGGAGGAATCTAGCCTATTGCACTTGACTGAGAAGCAACGGCCAGTTGAATTAAAGAAGAAGCAGGTAACTTCAGAGTGTCGATTTTTGGTGACGGTGTGCGTGCGCATCGTGATAATTTACTCTCATCATTTTTCCCTAATGCACCACAAGAAGTATAACTTCAAAAAAGAGGAGTATGTGATTCCGTTTTTTCGTTTTCGAATCATAACTTATGAACAGTAACAAATCGACACTCGGAAAGAATCTCATAAAAACGAAGATTTATGATCATGGGCGCCGGCAGCGACGTTGAAGGGGTTTCAATTGCACCCCTTTGTTCAAAAAGAAAGTGCGTAGAAGAAATTACATATTTTTTACCTAACTGAACCAGCTTTTGGAGTATATGCATTTATGTATGTAGATTCGTGAAGACCGTGCGAGTGACAAAGGCTATATCATTTTCATGAGAAATCTAAGTCAATTTAATGTAGCAAAAAATTCAGAAATGTATATATATATATAATTTCCGATAGCCTG